TCCTGGCGCTGTGGGCGGCCCCCTGAGGTAAGGCGCCCAGGACCCAGTCTGGGCAGTCCCTGCCCTAGGGCCAGGCACACCTGCGGGTGGGGGCAGTGGAGGAAATCTGGCATCTCTGGTGGGGCGTGCGGGGTGGGGGTAGGCTGGGCGGGGGGCAGCTGAGGCCTGGGGGTTACCAGAGGAGAACGTGTCTGGCTCCCTGGCTTGTCTGCCTGGGTTTGAACTGGGCGCTGTGTGTTTTGATTAATTTGGAGGCTCAAGTTACCACCAGCCTGGCAGTCTGGGCACTCCGAAATGCCAAGAGCAGAAGGCAGCTGAGGCGAAAGAGAATGCCCATCCTATTCTCTGCTGTGTTGAACTGGCTTTTCAGGCTAAATCTTATCTGCGGAAGTGCAGGGGAAACCTAGAGCCATCTTTGTCCCGGGTGTCTCCCTCCCGGAGTGCCCTTGGTGGAGGTGGCCTTGGATGCAGACCTGCAGTTATCTGGCTCGTCAGGGCACACTCTTCAAAGCAGGCCTGGTGGCCTTTCTTGTGCCACTGACCACAATGCCTCTGGGGATGCATTCAGACCCTTCTCAGAATAATGCTTTTAAATACATAAAGCACAATTAAATCAGAATCAGTTCTCCTGGAATACAATGATCAATGTTGTCCATATTCATCGCCCAAGGGAATGCTGAGTTTCCAGGAAAGCTACTGAAGCTGGAGGTGTAACTTTTACTTCCATCCAAGTTCACAGACCACCTGAATTCTTCTCCAGGCTTGGAACCCCAGTGTGCGAGCAGTGTCCCGACATCTGCAGCAGTTGGTCATCAAACACCATCTGTGAAATATATGGTTTGGTCACTGAGAACCACTTGCTTCAATTAGAATTGGGTCTGATAGTGTATTAGAACTATGTAGGTGTACAAAACCCTGACAGTAGATGAATGAAGACACAGCCCTTTTCCTTTTAGTTGTAGAGTGAATATTATAGTCTTCCTTCTGTTTTTTTTTATTATTTTTTTATGCCTGCAATTGTTAACTGTGGTTGTGCATTAGAATCTCCGAAGGAGCCTCTAAAAACCCTGATACCTAGTTCATCCCAAACCAATTACACCAGACTTTCCAGTGGTAGGACTTGGGTATGAGTTTGTTTTAAAGCTTCTGGGAGATTCCCACCTACAACCAAGTTTGAGAGCCACTGTTTTACATGCATGTCTCATGTTAAGTTAGCTGCATTGAATTAGGGTCTCTTCTTAGGAAAATAATAAATGGACTTTTATTATTACATCTTCATTAAGATTTATTGCATTATTAAAAATATATTAAAAATCAAATATATGGTATATTTATTAAGATTATATATTTATAAAATATATATTAAACTCTTTATTAAGACTTATGTGTGCCCAGGCCACATATATTGTGGGGTGGTATGTAGTAGCATCTTCCTATTGACAGGAGGTTCTTATGGAACCTTCTCCTGCTATCCTGGGTAGACAGGACATCAGAGGCTCTGTTGAAATAACAGTGTCCAAGAATTCCAAGTAGGGTATGATAATCTTGCATGGACTAACACTACTTCCTGGGGGGGAAATAACCTCAAAGCTAGTGTTAAATGCTCCTCCTTTTTGCTGAATTCCAGAAGATATCTCAATTTGGACCTTAATTTCTTTTCCCTGAAACCAAGTCATTTTGATGAAAGACCAGACTTAGTTTTATTACCTTTGAAGTGGGAGGAGCAGTCAACTGCACGTCACTTCTGATGCCACAACAGAGCAGGAGAGAAACTTGTCATGTAAGTATGGGGGGAGGGGGAGACCAAATAGGTTTACAGTTGTTTGTATGGAAAATAATATAATAATAATACAAAAATAAACTCTCTGGTTTATGTGCTCACAACTGTAAACCTACTTTCCCCCCACCCTGTACAGTAAGGAGGAAGTGTGGTTAAGAGCTTGGTCTGCACAGTAGACTCTGAATTTTGAATCCTTTCCATACTTACTAGTGTGACCTAACTTCTCTGGGCTGGGTCTTCTCTTCTGTACACTGGGCATAGTCATGGCACCCACCTCAAGGAGTGATAGAAATCCAATCCAAGATTCAGTAGAAACCCTTTGTCCAGGGTCTTCACAAAACAATGATAGTAGAATTTGATCCTCCAGTTGCATAAAGGAAAATAAGGTGGATGAGAAATGGTGGCACAAGATAGGAATGTTCTCAGCTCAGTAGAAAAGGGTGAATGTTGGGGTCCAGCCCCAGCAGGTCCAGGGGTTCCCAAAGGTGTGGACGGAGTCGGCGATGAATGAAGGACACGGAGACAGCGTTCAGATGATCAGCATGGCCAGGTTATCTTTATTGTTCTGTTACATCTGTATTTATACCATTTGATCCTATAAGCATGTCTCTATAATCACATGGTATGTTTTGCCTCAAAGAAGTGACTGAAGGAGATTATCCTACCCAGTAAAGGTTATGTCCTCCCAGCCCCGCTGCTTGCCTTCCCTGGGACTGCCCTGTGTCGGTGGGTCTTCAGGAGTATCGGTGCTTTGGTGCTTTCCCTGGTGGGCAGACCCCTGGGGATGTGGGCCCAACAAGTCCCAAATTTTTTGCCAACAGTCTTAGTCCAAGTTTTTCATAAGTAGTACATGGTATTTCTGCAACACTAGAGGGTTTTACTGATTTATTCTCTTCCTTAGTCCTGTTAATCCCTAACTTCAGGGAAAAATCCCCACCTGGGGAAACAACCTTTCTCAGGGAGGTGGTTCTGGTTATAACACATAGTGCTAAAAAAGTGGGAGCAAACATATCAAGAACAGTATGCCATATATGCCAGGTACCTTGAAACATATGCTGTGCAGATGTTTCTTCCCTGCAGCAACTGTGTCAAGCAACAAGGATGGACCGGCCTCCGGCAGGTGAAGCACAACCCACTTGCTCCCTTGCGGTCAATGAACTATCATTGTACATACAAAGTACACACAAATCTCTACCTTTGGTGCCAGCTAAGGGTTTGTTGCCAGATAAGGGTTTTGAACAAAGTGAAGTGGTCATTGTCTTTGACAAGTCCTACGTTACTATTTTTGCCTCCTTGTCATAATCACAGTATCATGTCTATTCTGCACAAT